TCTCTCTCTCTCTCTCTCTCTCTCTCTCTCTCTCTCTCTCTCTCTCTCTCTCTCTCTCTCTCTCTCTCACACACACACACACACACACACACATATACATTTTTCAGAAAAAATAGCAATTGTTTTTAAAAAAATGGGTATAGTAATAATAATAATAAAAATAAAATCAATAAATATAATAAAAATAATAAAAAAAATTAAAATAATAATAATAATAAAATAAATAAAAGATAAAAAAAATAAAAATAATTATAAAAGCATATATAAAAATAATAATAAAATTAAAAAAAAACAATAATAATTAAAATAATAAAAATAATAAAAATATAGATAATTAAAATTATAATAAAAATAATAAACATAATAAAAAAATAATAACATTAATAATAAAAGTAATAAATAAAGGTAATAAAAATTAAAAAACTTTTTGAGCATTAATAGCACTTATATTTTTGCATAATTTTTTTTATTTTTTTTTTAAACTACAATTGTTTTTGCTGCTATGAAGAAAATAAAAACATAACTCCCATTATACCCCTCTACAACCCACCGAGACACAAATCCCCAACTCAGAGATAGAAGAACACACCACCCCTCAATCCACCGAGCACAATCAATAAAACCACAGACTTATATGCCATACAAGCAATACAGCGCAGACCAATTATGGGATAGAAAAACTGCTCACGAAGCAGATACGTGATAAAATAAAACGTACTCACACTACTAAGAAAGCAAAAAAAAAATTCGGCTCCCACATAGCACAACATCGAAGCAACACGGCTGACAAACCAAACATGTACACAAAACACAACAGACAAAATACTGACGCCCCCTGCCTCCCCTTTGACCAACCCTTCTCCTAATGCAATGCTCTCCCACACATCGTGACAAGAGCAAGACCCGCAAGCCTGACACAACCTCTGAGATGCCCGCGTGAACATATCCCGCTCCGCTGGCAATTTCTCTACCCCCCCACTAGACAAGGATTGCCCATGCCATCACTATGGGGGCACCTATCACGGCACCTCAACTAATGTCCCCACACGCACACGCACACGCACACGCACACACACACATACAGACACACGCAGCCACACAGATAACACTCGATTTTTTTTTTATAAATAATAATAATAAATAAATAAGAAAAAGAAAAAGAAAATAATAATGAAAAAAATAATAAAATATATATATATATATATATATATATATTATTAATAATTGAAAATATTAAATTAATGACCAGTGAATAAATTATAACAGACACAAAAAGATATATTCCCTACCAATTAATAAATTTAATACTTAGTATAAAAAAAAGGCATAACCCCCGCTGTACAATATTCTTGTCTTTCATAATGCAAACCCCAAATACAAGAACAAAGCAGTACACCCCAAATCCTCGCAACACAAACAACTAACCACACACCTATACACTAGAAAGACAACACCACGCACACCGGTTATGGGATACGATACCTCGCGAAATGAATTTGAAAAAAAGAAGAAAAACAAAGCGTACTCACTCCCGAAGAAAAACACGCCAAACGTTTTTTCAAATAAGACGCTAAGGTAACATACGAAACGACGCCCACGCAGCACCACTTCGAAACGACGCATCTGATTAAGCACAATACAAACAAGCACGCAAACACAAGCAGACAAACTCTGACTTTCCCTGCCCCCTCCATAACCAAACCATCGCTGAAGAAAACGGCGATCTGATACACATCAAGACAAACACATACCCAGATGACCGACAGCACCACTGACATTACAGCACAACCCCCATCACCACCGCTGACAACCTCGCTACCACCCTCACTAAACTGAAACGAAAAATACACCCAACATCTTAAAAAAAGCACCCACCCCATACACGAAAATCAGCGACTATACCCGACACCTTGCCCTATACTAAGCTATTCTTGAACACCCCCAAGCCTAATAAGCTCACGCCCGTTTACCAACCATCAATGGAGTCTCCTCAACCCCCCACCTTATACCCTCCCTGGTACACCAAAGCGTGGCGTATACTGAATAAAAACAAATGCTACATACTCATGGCATGCATGCATCACCACGGAGGAGCTGCCTCCGGTAACGATAGCAGGCAGATGACACTGCGCAAGAACCCGCATATGCGAGCGCACTTTGAAGTTGAACTGCAAGCGCTCCCATTGCGCTCTCCTCCCATACCTACTGGCATACAACCTTTCTAACGCATCTTCCTCCTGAGTTTGGTGTGGCACAGTGCAGTGCCCTTCTCGTTGCATCTCTCCTCCCATACCTGCTGGCACACAA